TAGATCAGCAGTAACACTCATCTTCACTGTTCTCTGACTAACATCACAAATTCTCAACTGCTGACAAACAACTCATATAACTCCATCTGGAGAGCTGAAATAATTACTGAAAATATGAACAGTTAGCAGCAGGGACAAAAAAAAACCCTTTTGCTTTTTCCAATGCGGCCTTCAGAGATTTCATCAGTGAATTAAGTGCCAATAATCTATCAATGGATGACAAACCGCTGTGCAGCAGTAAGTACTAACAAACACAGAACGGGAACTTCTTACCCTCAGAGTAAGTAATGGAGATAGCTACTATAACATATCATACAAGGCTGCAGGTTTGCACTCCCCCGCTGCATGCGGTCCAACACTGGGACACCCCCACAAGCCCTTCAAAAAATATACCTAGAGAAGCTTCACAAAAAGTAATTGTACGTGCATTCGAGAATTTTCTGTGATATCTGCACATGGAAAGCTCCAATCAACACAACCCCATCTCTGCATATTTTGCAGGTCTAAAAACCCACTTTGCTTCTAAAGATTACATGGACATGGGTTTCTGGGAACACTTTCAACATTTCTTTTCACTTAATCACAGGAATTCATCTGCATTCCACAAAGTCACATCATAAACTCCCACACCGAGCACAGGACACTGAACCGAAGCACTGAATTCAGGAATCGAACACCGCAACAACACCGCACGTTAATGAGCAACTAGTTTGATGATCTACTAGCATTTACTACCCATCTCAATGTCGACAACTTTCTGGGACAGGCTCCAGGCCACAGAAGTTAGTGGCATGTTAACGTCAGCCCTCCCCGAGCTATCTGACTGCTGGATTACTGTACTGTCTTGTGAACTCATAGTGATCTTATTGTTACTAAACAGTATTATCCTGCACAAGCTGTAGTCAGAAAACATCTGCTACGGTGGTTGTATACAGCATTCGTCAGAGATGAAGAGCCCGAGGAAGAGCTTTGTGCTTGAAACGCGTTGCTACTGTCCGTTTTCCACGCGTCTACATGACACAGCTGAAGAAACGTTGTTTGGTTTCTTCTCTTTTCAGCATGGATTAAACCTTTGCAGCCTAGGAATGCTGACACAGCTGCCTACTTGAGCTATTTTATAAAAGCAAATCCTACATATATGTAATGAAAATGGCTGTATATGTTTAATCCTTAACCATGCACACGCAACTCCTGGAGTCAGAGTTCTAGCATAACCTCCAATCAGAGGCAAGCAAAGTTACCCCAGAGTAGCCCGATGAACAGCACGGTATAGTAGCGTCTCGACATCTGCAAATATAATATGAGCAAGTCTGATGTGGCGATGGGGTTTTGGATTTAGTAGGGCAAAGCCTGATAAAACCGAGCCAAAGGCTGCAAAGCGCAGCTTTAAAAATGATCTAACAACACGCATCTACAGCGAACTAGAGACAGACGGGGACTGCGAAACAGATCTACCTGGCAAGGGAGCCCCTGGCTGCCACTGTACCTGCTACTTGGCAGGCGCGTCTCAGCGTGGTCTCGTTTTAACATTGCGACGAACGCTGCAGTTCTGCGTCAGCGGCGTGGGGAGGGACAGGCTGGCGATGACTTTACAGGCGCACTCACATTTTAACTGCCCATTTCACCACACTGAGGCGTGACAACCACAGACGCAGGGAGAGAAAGTGCAGGCACCCCCCGGACACACAGAGGAAGAATTCATGTTGTTTATTTTAGTTGACTGCTTTAAGTTTGTGATTACTGTTCAAGATGATCAATGTTATCCTAATTAACTTAAAGCCAATGCATTAGTACCTTATCATATAAGGGAGAGTTACTTACATGGTCTTTTAACCATGCATACTCTATCCTGTAATAATATACCACATTATGCGATGGTATAGGGGTAGACTTAATTCTATACGAATTTGGCAATTTGCAATGGTTCTCTGCAGTGAACCCTCGCAAGTCTTGAGACCCGATGGAATTGGCATTATTGGCCCTTTAAAAATGCTGACCCCAACCATTTTCATTTTAGTCAATATTATCAACTACAAATGTTTAAAACCTGTTTCATGTAAATCGAGTTAAATAATACCAGCACGCCAGCTAGGTGCAAAGTTGGACCAGTTCTCCTTGGCTGGTTCCCTCAAGCACCAGCCTGCAGATGGACAGCGGCTTTCCAACGATTCCCAACAAGATTCAAGTCAGGACTTCCACTTGGCCATTCAAAAGACATTCCCTTTGTTAACTCCAGTAGGTTTGGCCTTGTGCTGTGTCCTTCTAAAATGTGACTTTTTACCCCCCTTTCCAGTCTTTATCGGCCTGAAACAAACTCTCCTCTAGGCTCTTGTCGCCTCACCGCTGCGTCGCTGACCAGGGGCCTCAGTTTGGAAAGACGCCCTGACCTCAGCAGTGTCGGACTGGTACGACTCAGCTCCTGCTTCTTGATGTTTGAGAGAGCTGCTCAGAGACCTCAGTACCTCTTGCACCCTTGTCCTGATCTGTGCCTTTCAATGAGGTGGCTGAGCCTTTGCTTGAAATTCACTAGTTGACCACGGGACCTCTTTTTATTCTGAAATAATGAGAACCACTAATGTTGGACACAGACTAACAGTGTGGTTTGTTGAGGTCGTTTACTTTAGGAGCACAAATTTCAGTTTGGCACAGTAAAGAATTTTAATACTTGTTTGATCATGACCTTTCCATATTTCTCTTGTATTATTTACTACTTTGTAAATAACTTTTTGTTCTTTAAATGTGTGGAATAGGGTGTGTGTATAACTAAATGCTACTACAAAATGTTATGACTACCAGCTTTAAAATAACAATGTGCTTTTGTATTTCTAATTTACATAGCAAATGAATGTATCCTAATACTTCCTGTCTCTTGAAGTCACCGAGATGAACACAAAAGTATTTTTTATTCTAATATAAGCAAACGTCTGCACTGAATAATCAAAAACTTAAATTTACAGTCATTTATATGAATCTCATAAGCACAAATGCAATTTCGTTGACTCGTCTCCTTCACAAGCAACTGAGCAACAAAGTTCATTCCTTCTTCCTTTGACTGGACATGTCCAGAATGGTCTTGCCCAGGACTCAACAAGGTTAAAGTCCTGTGTATTGCACCTAAAGAGCAAAGTGGAGAACCTCTTTCCATTACTACAGCCTTAAAGACCGATATGGGGTCTCAATGCGTCAGGGGCCACTGAGAAACTGAGAAGTGAGAGGATCTGCAAATGCCTTTCAATAATGCAGGAGGTCTTCTGCCAAGATTATACAGGTCACAGCCTGGTTCTCCACACAGAAAGAACAGGCCTATTAATTCCACTGACCTGTCACGCAACACTCGGAGCTGGCTGTAGCATCCAGAGCAATAACAGGAATTTGCACCAAAGAAATGTGACTCGTATTTAAAATGAAGAAACATAATTGTAAGCTTATTTTCCGGATGGTACTCCTGAGAATGCAAGCAAATGTTTTAAAACTTTTTTTGTTGACCTTCTGACCCCTAATTAGTAAAGTGCTTGCTTCAAGAAGTTATAACATTTGACACAGGGCTGCGTAGGATTGGGAAATTGTTACTTTTACCACATGGTTCAGGCAAAAATAAAATTCAGATTAATGATTAATGTGCAATGTTTGACTCCTTTTCAACAGATAATTAAAAAGCAGTCAAAAACATTTTAAAGACAATGGTTTTGTGATTGAGCAGATTCTTCTTTGCAATTTCTGTCATTTTGACTGTTAGACACTGGCAGCAACACCTGCCTGTACATGTTCTATCAAACTTCTAATTTTCTGAGGATGGGAAGTTAGATTATATTTCAAAACCTCCAAACATACAGTCATCAGAGTAAAAAGAAAACAAGGTTTTAAAGAAGAACCAGTTTTGTTAAAAAGAACCAAGAACCACAGAACCCTCCAACCACTCCAAACACTTAATTTACAGACACGTCAAGGGTACTGTACAACTAACAGGTCACTACAAATGCACGTTTCCCACCTTCGTGAAGTCACTAACATGGCATTGTCTGCAGACACAAGATTTAAGCCAAGGACTGCCCAACCCAGACAGACTAAAAACACGTGCATGAAAAGTGAAGCTAGTGGATATGGGGGAGTGTTTACTTTCACGGCTTATTAGAAATCATGTGCCAGAATAACTTGCTCCACTTTATTTTAAGGACAGGTAGGCTGACGGACAGTAATTATGGCCATTTCTTTACGAGTCATTGAATTCCTGTGCTGTGGAGGAAGGAGGTCACATTAAGCTCATTTAAACTCCTGCTGGGAATTTGTCAGGGCCTATAAGATACCTGAAGCAATATTTTCTTATGTTCATCTAGCTATAAAAAAAGAACGAAGAAGAAAATGGACGTGCCACCTGGAAGAATGCTCACAGCAAAATCAACAGCACAGGCAAACCAGTGTAACAGGGGAAATCGACACATTTGAAACTCACGGATTTCTTTAGAGCTGTCAGGTCTTTATGAGAGGCACAGAATCTGGCAAAAAACCTCTCAAGACATCTCCAAGGTCAGAAAAGTCTGACAATGTGCAGGAGTCAGTGATAATGATATTGATCAATACTGGTAACAATATTAGAAAACCCTTTCAAGAAACCCAAAGCACTAGAACCGCAGCATGCCAATCTAGTAAAACTACACGGGATATTGAAACAGACACTGAAAACAAATGTCTTGAAGTGATATTTAAAAAGGACAACAGTCATCAAGACTCGGGCAGAATTGGAGCCTTCAGTCCCTTTTATAAAAAGGAGAACCTGAAACATCTGTTCTAGATTTCACTGGGATCGAGGTCACTTCACAGAGGGAGGGACAGGAGGAGTGAGCCGACCCCCAGGGTACGTCAAGGAACCAAGCTGCAGGTCTGGGGACCATCCTGAAGTTTCTTTTAGTACCTTTTCCGAAAAAAAATAAAAATAAAAACGCCGGCCCCCCGAACATGCAACACCACCCACAACCAGCCAGACACACCACCAGCCCCCTCACCTGAATAAGGCACTTGCTGACATCGCTGGCGCACAACGCCTTGTTGCAGGCTTCCGTCTGCGACAGTGCCGAGAGCAAGACCAACACCATCAGGGCGGCAGCTGCTGGTATCACGGCGTGAGCCGACCTCATCCCTGCTGCCGACACGACCTGGACCGACACACAAGCAGAGAGAGCGGGCGGCCCCGTCACTGCCGTCGTACTGTAGTACCGGGGAGCAAGCATCCGCAATACAGTACCACGAAAACACTGAAGCGGGCGTCATATTTCTTTTATATTTTAGAAGTACCCTGAAGGGCCTGCAAGCATATTTTTTTAAAAAACATAACATTCATTTAGCAACGCCATCGTGTCTTTTACTTTTAAAGATGACATAACAGTCTTTTAAAAACAATGTATCGGTGTTACCGCCACACTGTTCCAGGCAGTTTGAAAGCTGCAGACCTCCAGGCAAACCGATACAACAAAATCAGAGGTTTTTTTTCATGTTCATCGATGAACTTTCGTCAGAGGGGCTCGTAGATTGAGAATTAAATACGAGTTCTGGCACTGGAATAAACACCGAAGCTGTGCGAATTTTCTCAAGAATGTAAAGATGGTAAAACGCGCAACAAACTAATAATTGACTGAAACTTAGTTTCAAGTTTAATACCAGCAACACTAAAAATACATTTCCATTGCCCTCTTTAAACGGAGGTATAAAATGTAATCCTGATTAGAACTACACACAAACAATTTTCTGCACAATCGCAAGCAAAAAAACGGTCTTTAATTTCACAATTCAAAAGTGAGAAGTTCAGGAGTAAACAATTCGTGGACGTTACGACTTCCGAATTGGAAGTTCAGTTTTCGTCCTAATTGCAACTTTGGGAAAGTTCGAGCAAGGGGTTAACAAGGCATACAAGACATTTATTTTTGCCGCAAACACGCAAAGGAACAAAAGCAACGAAAATGGGTCAGATTTCTATTTGGCACAGAAGACTTCAAGGATCGACAGAAAAACAACAACAAATGTAAATAACACGCAACGCTCAAGGTGTTACCGTGGTTCTGGTACTTTCGCATTGTTTGGGTACAGTAACTTAGTTACTTTCTCACATGAGAAACAACCAAGTTTAACGTGTCGAGAAGTTTGGGGCCATATAACGGCTACTTTACAGAGGCAAACGTCCTTTAACACAGCTTGAAGCCTTAATCCGAGTTTGGGGATTTTTATCCGGCCTTTCTCTTGCACGTTTGAAGAAGGCGTAGCAGAAAGCGATCACCTTTGCCGCAGCGCAGAGCGACCCGAAAAAACACGCTCAAGGTCCGTGAGAACACAGACGATTGAGCTGCTTCTGCGTTTTTTTTTAAAAAAAAGAAAGACTTACCCAGGCGAGCTCAAAACGTTGATGTATCGATCAGATAAAGGTTATCTGCAGTCCTCCCGGCCCCCCTCTCCTTTCACAATGAAATCATCAGCGGACGGGCTCTCCCGCTGGCGAGCGGCACAAAGCGAGCGGGGCGGCGGAGAGCCTTAAAGACACACAGACCATTTTCAAGCGGCGGCGCTGCTCCAGGTAACAACCTCGCACGGACAGCCGGCGGTGTGCAGAAAGGCGTGTGTGTGTTCAACCCCGTCTTCGGCGCCTTTTAGGACTTATTTTTTAACGGACTAAACGAAATACAATCTGCCTTTACACATTTGCACGCAAATAATAATCATAATAAGGACAATTTCCCTCCTGTTAAAGAGCTCCAGTGATGGTGTGAGTCCAAACGCCGCGGTACCTACCGGGCTGATGCAGTCGGCATTGTGTTTGCGGGAACACATTTTCTTTCTTTATGGCCTGGGATCCCAGTCTTGTAACTTCGATAAAGCATCACACGTTCACCCCCTCGAGGGGTGTAAAACTCTACACAAGCAAACACGACATTGTGAACTTTTTTTGATGTCTGTCCTGCCTCCCTCTGGACCAAGAGGTTCTCGGCCGTCCACCCTGGCACCGCGCAGCCTTCGGGAAGGGCTCGGGTGCTCCCAGTTTTGCAGCACAGACGCCACAACAGGCCTGGGTGTCTTGTAGAGCCCGTGAGCAGGTTTCTATCCACTTCATATCAAGGGCTGTTGATTAGCTGTTAGGCGCTTTCAAAAAGCCCCTCTCGTTTTAAACGGGAGCTGCTTGGTTATATAGCCCAAAAGGCCTTGGGAGTCATTTTTAGTCTAAACCCGTTCAGCCCGTGATTCGGTTTGCCCGGAGTTGCCTGACGGGGAATGTGCCTTCTACAAGTAATCACAAATAGCACAGACGCAAAGAGTCAGAGGTTCTCGGGCTCCTGTAATCATCGAACAACTAAAGGCGAGAACTTTATAGCTAATAAAACGGTTGGAAAGGAGAGTTGGCTCTCTTCAAGGGTAAACATGGAAAAAAAACATTACATCAAGTAAACGCGGACTTTTCGCTTGAGACGTCGTCAAAGACTGTGCTCTGAGAAACCTCAAAAAGCAAAATATGTTGTAGCTGATGCGGGACATGATGAAGCGGGAAAACGACGTAAATCTCACTGCTCAATTTAGGACTGGAAGAGACACCAGACACCTCCTGGACGGATTGGACTGAGGGGGTCTACCCCATTCAGGACCCGGCCCCAGATCCTGACCTCGGTTACGTTGTACTAAAAGGATCAGGGCTCAGTTGTAGCTGGAACCGAGCTCAAGTAACGGGGACACTGTACTGTATAAAGGTGCCGTCCTCCGGGTGAGACGTAAAACCGAGGTCCTGTCTCTCTGTGGTCAGAAAAAAATCCCAGGGCGCTTCTCGAAACGAGTAGGGGTGTCACCCTGGAGTCCCGGCCAAATTTCCCAATGGCCTTTACCAATCATGGCCTCCTAATAATCCCCATCTCTGAACTGGCTTCATCCCTCTGCTCCCCTCCCCACTGAGAGCTGGTGTGTGGGGAGCGGACTGGCGCATCACCCAGGTGGGGCTGCACACTGGTGAGGGTGGAGGGGATCCCCATGACCTGTAAAGAGCTCTGAGTGGAGTGTCCAGAAATCCCTTAAAAGCGCAAGGAATTGTTCATTATTATACAGTAAGTTCTGATGCTGTTCTCAGTCAGGATCAGAGCATGGACCTGCTTTTTGTCCCTGAAGAGTGCAGCTACGCGTTTTTACTGTCGAAATACTTGTTAAAAGACGATAACAACAATACTTCTGCTATTAATAAATACTCCACTTAAAGCGCTTAATTGGTCCACTATCCGTGTGCAGCCCCACCCGGATCATTTATTGTAGCGCTCTCGGGTTCACGTGGGTATGCGCCCTCGCCGCTGGGGACTCGAACCCGGGCCTCCGGCGTCACTGGGGGAAAGATCCCCCCCCCAGCTCGGCAGCTGCGGTCCCTGCTATTCACGGGGAAGGGCGGCGAAGTCACCGCGCTGGTAAACCGGCTCGCACAACCTCTCATGTCGGCCGTATGCGTTACAATATATAGTATATAGTACTTTAGAATACCTCAGCACTAAATGCGATATTAATAACTGCCAGAACAGGATACGCTATCACCGTGGGGAAATAACTATTTTTTTAAAATACTCAAGTCCTAAATATTTTTTTCCTTCAGATTTTAAAGTTTGTAAAATTACGGAGTTCCGCTTCTTAAAAAGGTTTAAAATCCGACTCCGATTATGTTTGCGTTGGGTTTAGTTCCTCCGGCCCACAGATGTTTACTACATCGCTCGAGATTAAGAATGATGAGTCCACGCAGCATGGAGGGGGCCGCTCTCTCGGTCTTTGAATACTCCACTGTAAAACGCAATTCAAGGCCCCAATGGATCGTGAAGCAAATTTATTGAGCGTCCTTGACAGATGTGATGTGCAGTTTGGTGAAAATTCAGTTCTTCCTAAATTTCACTTCAACTTTTCAGCTGCAGAAAACTACTTGATCTATTGCTTGGCGTTGAGAAGTCTTTAAGGTGTACTTTAAATATATAAAGTTAAGGATTTTGCATTCGGAAGGTTTGGGAACAAAATGTTTCCTCCAAAGAGCAAAGTACTGTAATAAAGTTTGCCTTTTTTGTGTGTCTGTTGCCATCTACCGGCATGAACCTAAATACATTTCTTCTGAAGGAGAATGTGAAGTAATTCGTTCGAAGATTAAAAAAAAAAACCCGTGTTTAATCATAGTTTAGAACAGCATATTTCAATTACGATCACGTCAGGAAGTAGGAACAAACAGAAACCCGTGTTACTGCAACGTGCTACGTTAGTCTGCCATTATTAAAAATAAACTGTCTATGGCGTCTTTTAAAATGCAGGGCCTTTTTTGACAAAACTATTCAACCTTTTGATAATCCCCCTTTTTGTCTGCTTTACCGTGAACAAGACAACGTTAAACATGTTAATTGAACTGAATTGTTTTGCTCAGTATTTGCACTTCAAGGAGCTTGAGGTATACTGCAAGGCCATTGTCCAATGTAGTGGTTTGTGTTTTTTGGGGAGGGGGGGAGGCCTGGTCATGTTAAACAGAAAACAAACGTTTAGCCACACAGCTGAGTCGAAGGAGCACAAGCCTGTTGAGTTTGTAAAGAGTCAAGTCTTTGCGTCTGCTAGCATTACACCCGACACTTCTTAGCAGGAAAACGTTGAAGTAATTGAAGAACAGTCTGCACTGAAATTCAGCAAATCCTTTGGAATGCACAACCAATAAAATTTATTCATTATATATTACAAATATGTACATTTCATGTAACAAGTAAATATTAAAATAGACAATATATAATTTTAGAACCATCTTTCAAGGCATCATGTTGAAAAAATAGGTTTTGTGATTTCACATCAAACTGTAGAAGCGACTTTTTTTTGTGCGGAAGCAGAACCTTTGTCCGCAACGCAAGAAACAAAAAAATGTAAGTGAAGCCATGCAGCGTACGACGCAGATGGCAGAACAAAGGCCCAGGAGAATGTGGAAGTTCAGCCAACCTCACCACAGTCCACGCTACAGCTTTTGTAGAAAGAGCAAGAACCAGTACTGTAATTCATGCACAGCATTAACTATCACAAATCTAGAACACCTGCAAGTTATGGAACATGTAAAAAAAATAATCAAACACATGCTTCAGAACTCACCAACAAAACACACAATACAAAACATCGGCTTTGGTCCATTAAAACATTAGACAAAACAGGTTTACAATCAAAATATCTATTTAATTTACAAGTTAAAAACAATAATTACATATGTATTTACAAATGCACAATCAGTGTATAAAATAAGTTATTACAAAATTAAGAGCACAGTCTGTACATTTATGAACACATTCACTTAGAAGTGATTAAAACAACGTAATTTAAACATTTTATAGTTCTTTCACGTAAGAACTTTAGTGATAGCACAGTCCTTCTAAGAGGAACTTGGTTCTGCGAAGCATTTCTGAGCTAAGTGCCACAAGAAATGCAAGTACATTTTCTCTTCTCCAACACACACTTCCTTGCTCCAACAGCAGCTTCCAGCACTGCCGGCCCCAGATTCCTGTACGCTGAGATAAGTGCCTTATCTGTCCGCCTCCCGGCTCACTTCCACATCCCCACATCGGCAGCGCCCGCAGCTGGAAGAGGAAGAGCCTCCGACTAGCGCTCCCCGCCGTTCCCCCGGCGGCTCTCGCGTCATGCGTGCGTTTTCCTGGGCGTTTGCAAGACCTCTGGGATGGAAAGTTGCCGGACACCATGCAACTTTGTACATGACGTGCAAGCAATGCATTTTTTTTTTTTTACACCCTGCTGATACTGACGCTTTGAACAAAACGCATTTCGCCGAGCAAGACGTCATATCGGCGTCAACTCAAAGTCATCGTTGACGTCAACCAGTGGGACGTAGAACTCGGGGATTTCGAAGATGCTGATGGATTTGTATGCTGCGGGGTCCAGCTCCTGCAGCTTGAGCTGCCACTCCAATCTCTGCACTGCATTCAGCGCTGCTGCTTCGTGTTGCTGCCTCATGAGAAGACGGGTCTGTAAAAAAACAATCAAGGACAACGATGCACACACTGGCTTTAAAAGAGATGATCCAGAATTAAACAGAGTGAGTAATAATAACGGTTTCACTGTGGGAAGAACAAAGTTTCTTATAATATACCAAAGAATACTTTTAGCTCTACTCAGTGATGTTATTTCAAGTCCGAATATTGTATTTTATACCACATACACTGCACACTGCATCTTAGTCAATGATTTGCAAAAGTACTACTACAGTGAAATGTATATAATCTTATTAAAATTAAAATAATTCATATACAGGGGGTATCCTCACAAAATAAACAAGGTTAAGGGGTCAAGAGGAAAAAAAAAACTCTTTAAATTTTTACTTAAGCTATAAACAGATTTTACCTCTGTGGTGACTGAAAATGAAAAATACTAAGGAGTTATTACTATAAAGACAGCAGCACTACTGCCTGTGCTAACATTTCTTACAGCACAGAGATAACACATGAAAGTAAATCATGCTCTTCCCTCTCAATCACAGAGTTTTTTTGTTATTTAACATTTCTTTTATTTCGCAGCACAATGCAGAATCACATACAGGCATTACTCTGATAACAGGTCTGTGCAAAACACGCACCTAATCTCTTTCTGATGTGAACTGAATCAAGCCTACCCCACGATGCACTGCTACATAAACATGTCAACTCTTTGCTAACCAAGGCTGTGGCTCGACTGCAGAGACCGAAGCAGGTCAGGTGAAGGAGATCCCCAAAATTAAAAATACTGCTGTGCAGCCTACGAATAGGCAAATGTCATCCAAGAACGTAGAAATACTGGTCACTAAATATTTTGCATAAACAGGCGAAACCGCGAATGATGAAATCATTCAGGAAGATGTGTGAAAAAGAAAAGGTGGTTTTCGTTGAAAATTTCAATTTGGCGTAATGATTTCTCCTTACAGTTTTCCTAACATGGTCCTGACTGTTTGAAAAGACTAGATCAGTGCAGGCCTAGTGTAGGAGGAGTTGTGACAAACTGAGAAAGATGCTGTGAAAAGCAATAAAAATATCATCCAAAATAGTAGGATTTCATTCCATTCAGACCTTATTCATTTAACTGAGTCAAGTCCGTGAATAGAACTCATTATCAGCTGTGCTTAGGTACCACTAAAACCTTCAAGAAGTCTTCACTTGAAGTGCAAGGTCGCCTTCCCCTAGTCTGAGATCTAAATCAAGGGTTGTTAAAATTGCACAACGCACTAGTTAGACCTTATTTGTAATACAGCATTCAATCTGGGTCACCACATTACAGAATTATATTTATTTTATATCTGATTATTCTCTGTGAAAGTCTAATACTATTAATTTTCCACACTTTTACCCAAACTAACACATTTTATTGTGTGTTTATTTTGCTGTATTATAGTTTCCCCTGGTCTCAAGATTCAAAATTTATGCTTCAGTCTTACAATAGTGAGCAGTACACCTGTTAAATGTACAGAATATAGAGTACCTAAATGTGTCCTTATAGTTTCTATAGTTTCTTCATCCCACCAGTCATCTCTATGCAGAGTACATGGGTTCTTAAGAACATGCTGGCTGGGACAGTTTTATATTGGTAACTAGCATTTTATGTACAGGCTTAAAATATAATGAATTGCAGAGGACATGCATCTAACACAATGCATTTTCTACTGTGAAGTCATGCTACAAAACCCACTGGATGATACAAAAAAAAAGTTATAAAAACTATAATCGGAAACAGAATGTCCTTCTATGCGCAAAGCTATGAGGTAATCTGCATTAAAAATCACATCGAGCCCCCTCACCTTTAGTTTATCAAATTTGTCATCGACATCTTGCAGCCAGGACATGAATTGCCGGGCATTAAACCTGTCCCGTACTGAGGTCTTGCCATCATCGGTCTAAGGAAGAAAGACGGCAAATAAAAATAAATTAAATCAAAAACACAAACTAGTTCCGTCTTACAACTCCATTTAACATACAATGAATAAAATTATCATCATGCCTGCAAAATCTGCTTGTAGAAAATCAAGCACAATTTCTCTTGTATTACAGATGCAGCTTCATTACAAGGACACTAAAACATGAAACGGCTTTGCCACTGTCCTTGCCTGGTTATGGAATCGGTTTGCTCTATAAAGTGAAATTATGCTGAGCTCACTTTTGATCATCTCCCAGATGGGATGGTTATGAGGAAAGCAGGAAACAGCCCGTACCTGAGCATCCTGAGGCATATTATAAACTTCTGCATCCAGAAGGACTGTGCAGGCACTAAAGGGTAAAGTCTGGTTTGCTAGTGTTCTTGCTGCACGATAATGGACACGCAACACCTCCTGCTCGTTGGAAACAATCAGCTTTTCCTAAAATAATATACAACAGAATAAAAAAGTGAACCGTAAGAATATAAAGTTATCAGATTGGTAATATAATTACTGTGTGTTTCACGTTAGGGCTTATAGCTAAAATAAACATTTTTTCAAGATTTAAAAAAAGCCCTTTTTGCTGCTTTAACAGCTAGTGTGGCTTATGCCGAGTGTTTAAGTGATGATTTTTATTGTAATAGTTTACTGACAATGTAGTAAGCGTTCAAATCTGTCCGATATCTTTTAATAGGCATATGTCTTCCGAGTATATCGATGGTCTAATTTTCTGTTACTCAGTAAGTAAAATAAAATGGTAAAATTACATTTCTCCAGTAGCTGAGAGTGGTATTAGAATACATGCCTATGTCAACATTTAAAAAATAAGCACTTTAATGTCCTGAGTCTACATTTTGTCAGGATTTTATTACAGGATCTGGCAAGGTTTAAGAAATGGTTCACATGACTGTACTTACTCGTTCAATGCTGTGCTGCAAACGCAGCTTCATTCGGACCACCTCCTGCTGTTTAAACAGTTCTTTCAAGGGTTGGGGTAAAGAGGGAGGTGGAGTTATCTGTCACGACAAAATAGCGGAAGGTTAAATGTCTTCATAAAACTTATTTAACCAGATCTCATTACTGGATAAAGTCAGCTTTAATACAGAGCTTCAAAAGGTAACAACCTGTCCCAGATGGAAATAGATATGGTGTTCTTGTGGTCCAGCAAACATCCTGGCAGCCATTTAAAAAAAATACTTTAAAAGAATGTACTATTACGGAGAAGAACCTAGTACTTACTCCTTCCGTTAACGATCTTGTACATCATAAAAAAATCCCACTCACAGATTATGGTTCATTACAAACGATGAACAATTACAAAAATCAAGACTAATAAAGAAAAACACTTACAGTCGGAATACACAGTTTACTGAGTGGATTTCCATCGAGGAGGTATGATCCATTGAAAGTAACATATTCGTCGTAATACTGTGGTGCTTGGGGGACAACGCTGCACAACACTTTCCGCTTCTCTTCAATCTTCTTCCGGATGTGCAAGAACTCATAGTAAGGGTTTGCTCTCTCGGTCTGGTACGGCTGGATCTCCTCCAGCTTCAGGGAATCTACAATAGCTGCCAAGGATTGCTGGGTCTTCTCTTTTGCCTGCTGAAGTGTGGGGTTTGCCTGAACAGCCTGTGGCACTCTTGGCATCTTCCTCTTTCTAGGGTGATGCACCTGCAGGTCTTCATCTTCAGTTAACCTTATTTTAGCCTTGATGGACCCTGAAAAATCTGCCTCTTTGTCACCTGTTTGAGGACCACCTACAGAAGGATCTTTAGTTGGGCCAGTTTGGGAATTTTCCTGGAGAGTGGATGGTGTGCCCTGAGATTCCTCCTGGTGTAGTGAGGTCTCTTCAGCACATTCCCTGTCTGTGATCATTTCCTCCTCTTCAGTCTTGACATGTGCCTCTGCACTAAACTTCACATCAGGTAGAGACTGTGCTTGCAGGACAGTATCTGTAAGTTTCCCCCTTTCTGATGCGTCTAGTAAGTCATTATTTTCCAAATCCTCTGCTGCTTCAGCAATATCCATTATTTTATGTTCTAAATCCAAACAATTAGCTTCAAAGTTGGGTTGATTAGATTCATATTTATCTAACTGAAGATCGCCCAAGTTCTCGTGCACGGATTTATTTCTTGGCTTCAATTTAGTGTCTTCAGTGTTCAGTGTATCATCAGTCTCCATGTCTTCCTGGGTATCCATAGCCCCCTCACACATGGTATTTGCCTTTATAGTGGTGTTATTGCCTATTTGCTGTGTAACTGTACAGGAAAGGCTAGCACACTGCCCTGGGCCATTCACACATTCCGTCACGGCATCCACTGACAAATTACTCAATGAATTTTCCATGTTTTGTTCATCCACTTTGCTTCCTGCACTGGAATGTAAATCCACAATAAGTACAGGCTTTTCTTTTTGTTCGGTAACCATAACTAGATCCTCTTCACCTGTGTGCGACACCTCAAGGTTCAGTTTGCTTGAATCTGGCTCAACGGCATCCTGACCTTCACTTGTGCTGTCAGAAGATGATCTGAAGTTTGAAGACAAAGAGTGTTGAAGAGGCAGGGATTCCAGTGCATTCACCGATGGAGAATCCTTGTTTTCTTTCATTTTACATTCTGATATCAATTTCTCACTGGAGAATTCAATTCGGGAGTCTTCTGTTGATACACAGGGAGTATTCTTATCTGGCAAAAGTTCAGAATTAGGAAGCTTTTCTATTTCTTGATCAGTTTCCTTTATACAATCTGTTTGTGGAGGGTTTATTAGCTGATTTAATGCCTCATCAGAGTCCTCTGACATTTGATCACTGCTGTTTGGCACAGGAAGGGGTGATGAGGGGAGGGAAAGGTGAGTGCTTCTAGCACCGCTGCACAGATGTCCTTCAATGCCACTGTCTGAAGGACCTTCTGTTAGGGAACTAGCATTATTAAGGTTTGGGAAAACTGAATTAGGACTGTTCTGGTTTTCTTGTGCAGGAGCCAAACTACTTTCTGCCACAGAAGTTCTCAAGTTCTCACTGTTAGACTGTGCCAGTGAACTGTACCGGCAATCTTCCACAAAAAGTCTTCCATCAACGGCTGCAGGTTTAGCATCTTCTGCAGATGTTGTTCGCACATGCGCTGCCTGTTTGTTAGACAGTGAAGCCTTGGTCCTCTGTGCTGAATCAAGTAAGCTTTCAGTTTCTGTTTCATGAATGACAGGCGATTTAGCATGTGTCACTGACAGTGGCAGTGAGAAGGACAACTGAGAGTCTGAACCTTCAAGAGTAAAATCCGAGTCATACTCCGTTATTGGCCGTGGTGTCATCACGGTTGTCTGACAGGAATCCTCTGAGCTTGCCACCGATATCATGGATACAGATCTGGATACAAGACCTGATTTCTCATGTTCCGGCCTAGGAGAGCGAGACAAACTATTCTCTAAACCAAGACCACTTTTCCCAGAATTTGGCAGATTTTTTGCATCCAGGGAAAAAGATCGTGCGCCAGTAGCTTCTTTTAACACTTTCTCTCGTGTATGTAGATCAGAGAGCTCTGAGCTTTTAGACCTTAGAAGCTCTTTGCTGTTGCCGACTTCATTTGGTAAGATTTTAAACCTCTCTTTGTTCTTCAGTTTGTTAAGATCTAAGCCTGGTTTGTGTTTCATCCTCTCTCTTTCTTTTTGCTTAATTTTTTCTTTGTGTTTTCGATGCCACTGCTCAATTTCTTGGTCTTTAAGACTTAACATTCTTTCAAAGCTGGTTTGCATGAGATCATCATTAACTAGCCTTTTTTCTTTAGGCCGAGCATCCTTGGGTGCTGGCGATGGCTTTAATTTAAGCTTGTCGGCCTCCAGCTCATTGGTTTTAGTTTTGTTGAGTTTATTTGGCTGCGTCTTGTCCTTGTGTTTGTCTCTCTCTTTATATCGGTCAATCTCTCTGTCCTTATCTCTTCTGTCTTTTTCTGGGACTTTCAGTCCATCATCTTTTAATTTTGTAAATGTTTTGTCATGCAACATTTTACTACTTTCTGACACACTGGGCTTTCTCTCTTCTGGGAAAATCTTCACATTGGAACTGGAAGTCACATCTTTTATTTTCTCTTTTTTCTTTTTCTCATGTTCCTTCTCCTTTGTGCGATCAGGTTTCCCTAAATCCACTCCCTTCTCTGAAGTTTTTCCTTTCTTATCTGTGCCGTTTTTCTCTTTGTCTCTGTTGTCCCCAAAGTACCGTTCTTTGTCTTGCTTTTCTTTTTCATACTTCCTCTCCACCTTGTCTTTGCTTTTCTTGTTCTCTTCGGGCTTCTTCGTTGACAAAACAGCTTTCAACTTTTCGCTTTCCTTGTAGTTCTTCTCTCCAAATGAATGGGAAGGGCCCGTCTTGTCTTTCTCTTTCCATCTGTCTGTGCTGTTATGGGAATCTGGTTTGTCTAGGAAATTCTGCTCTGTTTTGAGTTTCTTTTCTTTATCAGGATGTTTCCTATCTAGCTTTTCAGTTTCCTTTTCTTTTACAGAGTATTTTTTGTCCGATTTCTCTCTTGCTCCTTTTTCCAGTGCATCATGCTGGTCGTTGTCAGTGTCTTTCTCAGTTAAGAGGTGTTCCTCCAGCTCTTCTTTCACAACAGGTACATCCTGCAAAGAATCCTCAGGTACCTTATCAGAGGTCAGAAGATCTATTTTCTCATCCTGATCACTCACTTTTATTTCTTTACCTTTTTCTTCTTTGAACAGATTTTCTTTTTTATCCCTTTTCTGAGACTTGTCTTTGTCCCTGTCCTCTTTAAGTCTCTTCTCTTTACTGACATGTTTTTCTTTAGAACCTTTCTCTTCTTTAACAGGTGACATTTGTGGGGCACCAGTTTCAGAGCTGTCCGCTTTCCCAGAGAAAGACTCGTCGTTTTCATCGCTTTTGAAGAAATTTTCCTTCCAAAATTCCCGATCAAACTCAAGGTTCCTAATGCCCTCTTTCCTCATCTCTTTCTTTCTGTGCTTGTCTTTTGCTCCCTCGTATTCTTTTCTATGTTTGTCTTTTTCCTTGTGTTTTAATTTGTGTTTCTTGATTACTTTCCCCTCTTTATCCATCTTTCGCAAGGTGCCCTCTGAGCTGTCTAAGCTGGTACCCAGATGGTCTTCTTTACATGGAGTGGAGTTTTCATCTTCTACATCTATGCCCATGTCTTTCTGGTGATGTTTGCTTTTCTCTTTGTGTTTAAGCCCTTTGCTGCTCGAGCTCTCCGTGTTATAGTCTGCTTCTGTGTAGTGGTCAAAGTTGACATTTTCCATCTGCAAAGGACTTTCTGAAACTCCAGTTGACAAGCATGTTTTAGCATTTTCTTGCTTTAAAGGAGAAGCCTGCTTGTCTGTTACACTGTGATTAAGTTTGGGAGATTTTACCGATGGAAGATGGAAAAGGTGGACAGAAGAGTCATCTTTCGGGCTGAAAGACATTTTAAAAGTGTCATCTTCTCTTGTCTTTTCTGGGGTTTCCAGCCCAGGTGCTGTGGAGAAAAATGCAACTTTACTATTTTCTTTACCATCTTCCTTAACCTCTTGGTTTTCCTTGTTTTTACTTTGATTTTTAAACTTTTTCTTTACTTTACCCTTTTCTTTGTGGTCTACTGTAAGGGTTAAATCTTTCTTAGTCCTTACGTCTGTTTTGTGACCATCTGCAGCACCCACAAGGGAACACGTTGGAGAGCATGTTTTTCTTTCCTGGTGGGTTTCGTCTCCTGAGCTCTCAGAGTTGCAGAACAGAACACGGGAGGATTTTTGCTTTTTAGACCTGCAGATATTAGTCTGATCATTCTTTTCTTGCTTGGTCATGAAATTATTTCTTTCTTTTTCATCTTTCTCTCGTTGTCGCATTTCTCTCCTGAGGATGTGCCTATCATTCAGTGCTTTACTGAGGTCTTCCTCCTCTTCATCATCCTTGAACTCATACTCATCCAAACCAGACGCAGAGGCTTTGGCTGGATTAAGCTGTTTGTTCTCAGAGTCTTTTTCCATATCGGAGTACTCCATGTTGTCATCAACACTGGAAGGGTTTACTGAAAGAGGGTCTTCGAATTCTGCAGAATTAAAAGTAAAAACAGACTTCACAACTTAATCGAAACGTTTCTTCAGTTTCTTGAAACAATTCAATCAGTTTACAGTTCCTAGGTCTCCCCATACAGTCTTATATGTCATATAGCACATATCCTTTATTATTACAACTGAACTGCAAAAGGAAATACATTTTGAAGTCATTTGTTTTTATGTGTGTGATACAGTAGGGTCTCAACATTTAACATTCGCAAATTCATTTATTCTCGATTCGGTCTGGCCAACGGGGTCAAATTAGCAGAGCAACAGACTAGGTACAAACTACCCACCATCCAGTTCTCAGGCTGGTCTTGGTTCTGTATTGTAACGAACGCTCCCAGTTCTGTGTCGGCAGCTTGGGGAAAGACAGGCTGGAGCCGACTTCACAGGCTCCCTCACGGTTTTATTGCCCGTTTCTCTACAGTGAGGTGTGCTCACAGAGGCAGAGAGAGAAGGTGCAGGCTCAAGGAAGAGGAGAGTTTGCCATTACTGTTCTTCTTTTAGTTGATCGATGTTATTTAAAGGGGAACTGCCATCCCCATATCTCAGACCAGATATTAAATCTTGGTAACAAAATAAATGAATTGAAGGCATAGAAAAATTGTACAACTTTCGAACTAAGCTCAATATTGCGAACTTTGTGAAAGTTCTGTAAGTTGCCATGTTGTCACAAAACTCCTGGTCACGGGCTAGAGGGAGAGTTCGCAAGTATCAGCTGTGATTTGATACTGCCCTTCCTGCTCACTAGTCACTGTGATGACTAATGTAATGCGATGTACAAGCAAATAAGTACAGGTTGTGCAGCAGACTTTTCAACACAGAAGTGTTCCAACGTGGTCTACACGCAGAGTTAACAAGTAAGTAGTACATGTTGGAAAAGTCTCGAATTGGAGAGAAATATTTCTATTGGGTTAAAAGAGATGTATTCTCAAGCCTGCTTGTTTACAATGTAATGAGGCAGCGTTACCTCATCGTACGTTTTGTTGCCTCGTTCTGAATTGCAGAATATGGCGCTGCACATACCTGGAAATTTTGTCACGAAAACTGGAGGTTTTAGAATTTATTGTGGTTTGAAATGCAATTATCAATGCTGATTCTTTCTAACCCCAAAATATAAAAATAGCACTTCAGTGCCCCCTTTAAATTAATCTAGAGTCAATGCCTTCAATGATCATATAGGGGAGACTTAGTTAATCATTACTTAGTCTTCAAACCATACATACTATAGACTGTAGTTCATCATGTGACAATATTGGAGTGGACATGATTATAGGAGAATCTGGCTACCTGCAATGGTTCTATACACAGGGCTTGTGAAAACCTTACTGTATATATTTAAACACAATATTTAAGCATTAAGTCTTCCAGCGCTCATCCACAAACCTGAAGAGCTGTCTTCTTCATCAGAAAGTGGAATTTCCCCCTTCAGCAGGTGCTCCAACTCCTCTGAATCTGCAACATCGACTGGGCGCTCTCCTCGGTTGTTTGCTTGGAAGGCATTGCCACCATGACGCAACAGCAGCTTCACGATCTGCAAAGGACATTACAAACCATTAGTCCTACCAAGAGCACTCCCTGCAGTCATGCGCTGATGTAAAAATGCTGAACTACACCAAGCGTCTGGCACGAGGGAGAAGGGGGTATGTCATCACTACTCACATCCTTGTGTCCACTGCTTGAAGCATCATGAAGTGGTGTATCATCATCTAGCCCCTGCGTGTTCACTTCGGCTCCTGCTGCAATCAGGACTTTGGCAACATCATAATAACCCATGTTGCACGCTTCGTGCAGTGGAGTCCACCCTGAGGACATTAAAATAAAAATTATTTCTGCTGGCCTGAACATAATATGTACAAATACGTAATACGTACCAATGGCAAGGAATGTAATCTGACAGAAAAATAAAAGAGTGACGGTAACAGTGTATTTCACACTATGGAATATAGCTGAACACCCCTTTCCAGACACTGACGTTTTTGTACTGTCCGACGCATTATGAAAGCCTAGATCCAAATAATGCAAATCACCAAAATGATGCTTTCCCATTTTCATTCGAATATTAGGCAAACTATTATTTTTCAGCTGGGCAGATCAATACCTTTTATGACAGCTTTAGCATGTGCTTCAATGTCTATTCAACCTCCTTCAGTTTTGTGAAACTACATTTCTAAACTAGTATGGTATGGCAACATTCTTACAGGTTCATTTTTTAGCTAAGCATTTAGAACACTAAGTAAAACACCTACACACCTGCTTACTATTTTAACGTTCTTTGATCTAACCACACACTTAAAATATGCCAAAATAAAATACCAGAAAAACTATATTAGCAATATGTTCCACCTTTAACAGAATTTAATTTTTTTAAAATTCAAAGTGAAACCAAAAGAATAACCCTGTAGTTTCTGTTATTCACTTTCTGAAAAAGTTCTGAAAAGGTAATACAATTGTTATAATTTAACTTTATTCTAGGCATGATTTCTTGTATTCTAAATTAAACTACGTTTTATTTTTCTATTCTAAATAGTGGGACAGAGCAAGTTGTTAGGGACTTAGATTAAAACTAAAAACGTTTTCAAACTGCAGTAATGGAGATTGTACTGTATTACAAACTGTAAATTGGTACATTTAAGTAAGAGGCAAGTCAATCTTCGCAGCACTGTAATTAGACATGTAATTACTGCACTGATCAAAAAACCCTACACCTCCCATAATAGGCAACTGAGGAATACAAAGTAAATATGCATGCTCTTAAGATGGGCCTCTCATTTGAACTGAAGAATTATCATTTCATAGCAAAGAGTCTTCTTCTCTCACCTGCAAAGTCTTTAACATTCACATCTGCTCCCAGGCTGATGAGCTCCTTAACATGCTTGACATCCCCTCGAATGGCTGCCATATGCAATGGAGTCTCTCCTCTTTCATTTCTCTTGTTCACTTTGTCTTTTTGCCTAGAAGACGTGCTCGGTATTTTCTTTTGTACTGGTGTTGCCTGGGATGGATGATTAGGAGTAGTGTCTGTAAAGCAAAAGCAATACAATGTGTCAGCAGCAGTACTAAAAGTTTCAATACTATAAATACATAATTGGCCATAATTGACCACTCTCAACATTTAAAAATGAACAAGAATTATTGTAGCTAGTATTCAATGATAAATGCAATAAATTGCATATTGTCAATCCTAGGACTGACACGTAGGATCACTCCTACATGCAAATAATTAAAAGAAAATGTTTAAAAAGTTCACCAGGAGTCTCAATGCCAGCATTTCAATCAACCTTTCTCAAAGTCCTAAATCAACAAAAAAATAACATTGTTTCCACACTCATTTTCACTGGAATGTCTATAAACAAAATGTTTTTACTTAAATCAGCAACCCCCCCATGCCTGGTTGAAAACAATATACAATTTCCATGACATAACTGAATACACAAGAGCCACTGGATAAATGAATCATAGATGCCGGCTTCATAAATACTTTTGTATGATGCTCTCCCACTTTGCAATAGATTTCAACACCTTAAATGTTGATGAGGCTAATCTCAAAGAAAAGATTCTCTTTACTATTATGAGCAGCATGTAACATATTACTTATATCTACATAAGTATCATAAAAAACATCCTAAGAGTACAAAAAAACAAAATACGTATGACCAGAAATACATATGACCTCTGTGATTAAAAAGAAAGGTACAACAGAAAGAAGACAGACTGACCGAAAGATTTTTTTTCACAAAATACCAAAATATTTCCTTCATAATGCAAGTTTTTTAAAGATTTTCTCTAACGCTACACAATTGGGCACAACCCATTTTTGGTAACATAAGGTGCCACTGCTGGAACTAAATTGATCCGTAAAATTCTTTCTTAAATACAAAAATAATACACAATACACTGGCAAGTAAATAAAATACATTATTCATGCTTTCTGGGCAAAGAAAAAGAACATTCCTGTAAGATTCTCAGCTTCTGAGTTCTGGGTTTGATACCAGTTCGGGCGCCTTTAATGTGGCATTTGCTTTGCTTTGGTGTCTTCCCCACCATCAGGTCAAGCTATCCAGACCAACTGGCGCATCCAAATTGCCACCCTACGTGGGCAACTATCAGATTGGCATTCTAGGGCATCCCCCATCCATGCATGAAAACCCTTATTACCTCACACTCTAACTGTCACGTGTTTGGGATGATCTTTAAGAACTAATGCAGGACTGATGCTGAGCTGAGAAGCTGCTCATGAGATCTAGGAGCCACTGTGTGGCACATCTGTAGCCCCTCCCCCCCTTTTATCACAAGGCAATTAGAAACTAAACCTGAACCGAACGCTAGTTAATACTGTATGCAATAATTAATGCACTTTTTGCACTACTTTTGAAGTACATTGCACAAAGTTTCCCACAAGTGCTGTCCTATTTATACTGTAATCCCTCTATACAGTGTTATTTCTGGTTAATTTAATAAAAATGATTAAATGGTAACCAGAATCGGGTAAAATAAAAACTGCATTAACAACATGATTTTTGGTAAACTGAACTGACGGTAAAAAAGTCACTATCGACTCACTAATAACGCCAAGTTTGAGTTGAGATCACATATCCACGAAACGGGAAATAATGAAACAGCAGTACATATAGTATATGTATATATTTACTTGATGAATGAGAGAATATCTGCCTATTTCTGTGTGCGCTCTCTATAAAACAGTTTAAATGTTTAAAATGGCTACATTTTTAAGTGTTTAAAAGTTCAATTTCAGTGCTATTAAATATCGGTAAAGGTCAATAAGAATCGTGACTACCCACTGGTATGCATCCCTATATTTTCCAAAAGAACTGCACAACAAAGCACAAAAACAAAGGCAAGGAAGACACATACACACAAGGATGCCTAAGCCATGTATGAGTTATAATTTAGATCAGCGTTTCGCAGCGTTTTCAGGCACAGGATGATTGCTCTCCCTTCTTTTAAATTGAACAAATGTACTGCATGTCAGTCACTTAACATGGATTCATAATTAAAAAGTCACATCTAACAAATTACATAACAAATACCTGACCACGTATTTAATCTGTATCATAGCTTCGAAAGGAGGACAATCAGCACATTTTAATTCATCACTGTTTAACACAAAGTATTTGTATGAAGAAGCAATTACAGGATTTGCACGTAAACATTTCTGGCATTTCCTCACGAGGTCCGCAAGTTATCAGTGAGAAACAGTCTTTACAATTTTCCTCACACAAAGCCATGTTAGAAATTATAGGAACAGTTTTCATTCAGGATTGAATTCTATGGTTTTAAAGTCAATTTGAGAGGATATTTAAAAGCAGTGAACACAATGGCATCGTAAATCTTAACATATTACTGCATATATTGGAGTAACAATAGATGAAAAGAAAGCATTATGGCTGGTATAACCTGGACTGTTGTCTCTTGCTGTCATTTGCATGAGAAGTGCCATCTGCTTGCGCTCTGAAAGAGGATACCCAAACATAATGTTGACCGGAGTGGATTTTTTGCTTCCCGTTTCTTTCTTTACTTTCTTCTTGTCTGGACCGTCTTTATCTGTAAAATAAAAGGACAAGATTAATTTTATTTTCTCTGATCTCTTTAAAAAAAAATGCATAAATGAACTGCAGACTGCTCTTACCCGACACAAAAAGTTTCTTTAGCAGTCTACGTTCACTCAAAAGACTGTTCAGTGTTATTACAAGCTTTCTATTAGAAATATACCTAATAAATCCCATCCACTTGCATATTGATTTACTCTATAAGCAAGGCAGGGCCAAGCATGGTCCACTCAGTACAGCAGATGCATTTGTTTTTAGGAAAAATGTGATGATCAATGATAGGGCGAAACTGGTAAGCCATTTTACCTGAGTAAATCCTGTAAGATGGGATTAATCTTTCTCCCCAGGTTTCACTTGTGTGTCCTGGATCTGAATCTACAGTGCAAGCAGAAAGAGTGGAAAAGGACGATAGCAGCGAAGGAAAGCACCACATACAGAAAAACAGACTGGGATCATCTGTTGTACCCTGAGGACCAGGACCGGATCTCCGATAGCTATTATCTTTCCAGTCTGCCTAGAGAGAGGATTGGCAGCAGAAACAGAAGAACACCAAACACTCACAGACACTTCAGATCGCTAGAGAGTTCAGGTAGCGGACAAAAAAACAAATAGAAACACCAATGTAAAGTTGCTAGAAGGGCACTGGGCTACCATATGTGGCCAGTATGACCTGTGTGCACTGTGGCATTGAGTCTACCAGAGTCTCGAATTACACAGGGTGGATGTGGCAGCATTCTTCCAGAAGAAAGCTAATGAACTCACACCTGGTTGTGGAAAATGCTACCTAAGTCACTGCTGAAGAATAAATGCTCAACTGGGCAAATTAGATTTGGTGAAAGAGAGGGCCATTAAGATATGAATAATATCCATGTCATGCTCATCAAATTTTGCCATCGAAAGGAATGAGAACATGCAGACTAAACCTGAGGCAGTCTGTTGCCTTTGCTCTTAGGACCACCGGACTCGCAATCCAGGTATGATAAAGGTTGTGCTCTGTAACCCAACTATCGTATCAAACTCTGTGGAGTTCTCAGTGAATCATTTTTAAAGAAAAGGCCTGCTCACGCCCCATGTTATAGGTGTAGCTGTGTTTGCTCACCTATTTCACCTCGCACTTGAAATTAAAGGATGGATGTCACATGTCCTGGAGTATGCACTTCTGCCCACTGTTGCCCTTTTCCAATACTGTTTTCCCTTCCAAGTTCCCTGCTGACATCCCCTAAGACACTGTTGCTTGTGAAACACCAGCAGGTTGAGCTTTCTTGGGTCACTGAAGCTTTTGCCAAACTCACCCCAGCAATCACCCCTCTTTCAATGTCTCCTGATGCGGCCATGACAGTCATAATTATATGCACCTAAGCATGCTGGGATGTTATTTGCTTCACTAGAACAAGTCACACCCTTGCTCTCAACATGCTTGGTGATCCTCATTTACCAGGCGTTTCCATTGTTTTTGTCTGCTACCTGCACATAAGCTTCTAGACGATCCCTTGAAACATTTCCTCAAACAACTGAGACACCTTAATAAAGCCTGTTAAAATTTACATTTACTCCAGTACTGATACAACTCTATATGGTGCTCTCCCACGACAAACTGCATTTATAATGGTAGCACGTAATGGCACAGCTGAATACAGCTTTTTACCACAGATCATAAAATCAGCATTCTGTAATAAACTTTCACGCAGCTGAGACTGTAATAACCTTTAAAGGGGGACCCAAAAGACCTGACTTTTCCGTGAATAAATGGAGAAAAAGTCCATGAAATCAAACTTTTAATATACACGCGACTTGACCTAAATACATGGACACCATTATAGATATAAATTGACCACTATAGATTGAAAATAGATAAGTTACTCCAGTGGCTCCATCTGTAACTTTTCAATAAACAAATGGTTAATGAAAGCTGACAGGGTTTTGAGACAGAACAGTTATCCACCTCAATAGAAATCTGGATACGAGTCCCAAAGCAGTGCGTATTTTACATTCAGCTACACGCTGGATGAAAGTTAGACTGGCTAAAGTCAATTTACAGATTTTTAAACGGGAAAACATCTTTCTACCTTCAGCATCAAACTGAAATCTCAATGCCGAGTCCTTACTTTATATAATATCTGAAGGTTAAGTGGTTGACAGATTTTTTAAAGTAATCTCCTCTGTTTTAGAAAAGGTTAGGTAAAAAGTTCTTGAATACCATATTCACTACAAGGACTATGTTCGAACCTTCCACAAGTGACAATTTCCAGCACTCTATAATTCTCCAAGATGTGATTTTTGAGAGATACCCTGAATGAAGGAAGCACCAAGATGTGAAAGTAACAGCATCACAACTGAACCAATTCAAAACTACTGAGTGCATTGTGAAGAACCACCTTAGAGGACTCTGTAATACAGATTCTGTAAGGAGCTCCAGCTCAAAAGAGCAGGACTGCTGCCCTTGTCCATCCAATGTACAAACCTGTCACTACCTTACATTAGACCGAAAAGGGACACTACAAGATATCTTTCAAACACTATTTATGATGGCAGACTAAAGAAGGGCTGATGTCTGCTTATTTAGGTCAACTCTGCACCTTTTGTTTCCCTTAACCGACGATGCTTTCTCTCCGCACATTAAGAAAACCTGCATAAAATTGTACGCAGGTAAACTAATATAGTGGAGCGATTTTTAAAACTTATTTCAAGCAGTGACTTGACAAACAGCGCATGCTCAAGGTCTGCACATTTCAGAAACAATCGGCACAGTAAAATAAAACACCCCCAGTGTACGGTCTGTGTGTGGACTCTGCAGAGGAAATGCTTTAGTGGCCTGCCACAAGGGGGCAGCCGAAGCCAGCTGGCGCGGCCCCTGCTCGCGGGGAGACGTCTCGTGTGTGCCGTACCTGTGTCCGAGTCCCGCTCTTCATGTCTCGGAGGACTGACAGTAAAAGGAAGCTTGCGTTTCATGGAAGACTTCTGTTTCATTTCCTTCCCTAGTAACTCGCTTCGATCCACCTTTGGAGTCTTGGTGAAAGGGGAAATTTTATCCTTACTCTGGAAAAAAAAGAAATACCTTTAAGTAAAATTCACACAAGTCATGAGAATCCCTCCCCCATCACGCCCCACCGCTCTCATTCTAACTGTAAGGCTTTTGGGTTAATAACAGAGTGTAAAAGGTTGTACTGTTAAGAGATATGTAGAAGGTAGAGGTTTTTCAACTTGTTTCTGAATGAACATATGATTCCTTAAAAATAAGTAATTTTGAAGTACAAGTAATGAGGGTTTAATTAACAAATAGTTCTAGAATATTTGTCTTACAAAACAAGTCAATTAAAAGCAAGGCTTATATATTTAAATATAAATATAAGAAATATATTTCTGTCTTCTTCAGATTGAGCTCAGTGGATTACATGATATACACAGTCTCAGTAACATAAACATGGGCTTTGTAAGAAACACATTAATGGACCAGATAAATGTGAAGAGGAAACAGAAAAGACCGATTGTTTCCAAGGCTTCATAATTAGCTTCTTAATGAATAGCCTCCTGCCAAAAGCAGCTCAAGGGTCAGCAAACAGACTGAACCTCTGCTAAAATTGCTCAACTAGCATAAGTGGATGTTCTGAAAAACATCGCATAAAGCTCTAGAAACTCAGAATGTGAAGTGTCCACTATCAAGCCCTGGCGGCAGGTGCTGCTAACCGTGCACTCGATCCTGTGGAACGGTGAAACCCGGGCAGAGGCCCTGCCTACCCTGGAGCCTTCCCACCTGAAGTAGGCCGTCACCTGCTTCCCCTGCAGAACTATTTCAAATACAGGGAACCCACATTGTGTTTCTCCCTTCAGGGAAGGCGAACACGCCCTTTTAACTCTTATAACTTATGGCAGAGCAAAGCCACTTCCTCCTGTAGCCCTGAGGGAAATTCGAAACCTTCTTCCCGGGACTGACCCCAAAACCAGCCTGACTCCCCGACTAGCCGATGAGCTGAATGGAAAATCAGACACCTTCTCCCATGTTCATTCCCTATTTATAGAGGGAAGTGACTGAACAGCTGCAGGACGTCCGGCTCTTGCTGTTGCGTGTGAATGTCTACACTTCTACGCTCTCCGACGGTCTCTCAGCTGCACACCTGCGCAAAATGTCACTGACAGCTCACAGTCACCACTACTTAAGTTTCAAAATTTGTGTTTCTTACAGATGTAGGATGACTGAAAGCTACACCGAACCCACTCTTTTCTATAAAAAAATCAAGTCTGAGACAAGTGCAAAGGTCACACAGTTTATTTCCTTTTAAAGTTCAACTATCAGGCAGGAACAATGTAAAAAAAAAAACTTAATCTCAGGAAGTTGTTACCCACGCACATTAAACAGCCTGGAAGTAGATAGCAAACCTTCCAAAATATTTAAATTTATAAACAATATTTAACTAACTGTGGCATTTTACAATTCATTTGAAGTCTTAGCTGAAAAGTGAGCACCAAAGGTTATTTAAAAATAAATCAACTGACCAAAAGTGATAAACAATTTCAATTCCCTTCATATGCTACAATATTTAATTTAAGCTCTTTTAGCTGAATTCCTCTTGCTGTCGGCTACTATCGCACCTTTGCAAACTCTTTCTGTTAAAACTCCACTGGCACTCAAAAGCAAGAGGTGGAACTTCAACATAATATTCCTTAAAGTACAGTAATCCCAAGCATTAATGTGGAAAGTGCAAAAAGTGTTTTATTTTTTAAAGAAAAACAATAACTCTGCATTTCTGAAATTCAGCCTACTACTGACTCAGTTTGGCAACAAACCCTGTGAAACAGGATTAGCCTCCTAAAGATTTATTTAAGTAGACCAAGGATGATCACAGAGCTCTTGCATCGAGAGGTGTTTACAAGGCTACTTAAGATAAATGAAGAAGCACAAGCGAAACATGAAGAAATCAGCTTGGAAGGCTGCTCACACAGTACGGATAAGAACGTTCAAATAAATCTTGAACATTGCTTGAGAAGTCACATGAAAATACTTGTATTCAACATTTTAGCCAGCAGGTCCTGCTATTCTTTCAACTGTATTCTTTGGACCCTTTTTTACTATGAATATTAAACAGTTATCATGGTACTGTACTGCTCCTCCAATCAGTATTTTAAATAAAGTATTTAAAATTACTTAAATGGCTAATTGTGTAAATACATAGTTTAAATTTGATAAACACAAATATAGATGAAGTCAAAATAAGCACTCCGTTAAACATTGACAGACATAAGTTTCTAAGACAAGGGAATGTACTGTCAATTCTATTTCAACTCTCCAATTAATTTTTCAGAAGTTATTCTTCTGAGCATGCAATGTAAGCGCATAACACAAGAGATCAAATTGTCAATCACGTTGTTCGTAAATGCTGGCTCACTCATCACTATAATCAAAGAAGACTCCCAGTTCAATAATGAAAAAAAACTGACCTCTTTTTACATATACATAATCATCTCCAATGTTCATGAATGCGCCAAGGGGTCAATTCAGAGTTACCAAGATTAATGTTCCTCAGGACCTCACAAAGCTGCATGCAAACTGTACAAAAAATTCTAGCAAATGTTGGATCTTAAAGGTCACTTATCATTTGGGTAGCTCTGTTAAAGGTCAATCCCATGACTCAGTTTCACTATGGTGATCTTCCTGAGGGATTTCTAATCTTCTCTCATCATCTCCTGGCCGAATTGGTTTGATCTCAGTTCCATATTCGATAGATCATACATTGCGGCACAAGGTAACAATTAGCAGCGTTAGAATTTTCTCACAACACAACACTCCCATCCACAGGCAGGGTACTTTATGACAGAGCCACTATAGTTAGACCTACAGCCCAGCCTTTTCACAGCACTGCCACATGTACTGAATAGTGAGTATGTGTTGATCTATGTCCAATAATAAAAATGCAGGTTTGTGTCACATACACCACAGGCTTGGAGTTGAACAGACAGGTGATTACTGAGTGCTAACAAGCAAGAAGAAAATAAAACATCAATATTAAATCAGCAAAAAAATGGAGCATCACAAATGTAACTATTTGGCATGCATGTTTTCTGAAAAAGTGTAGTCATGGATTTTGATTAGATGTTGGACTAAGTGGTGAATCAAGGTTCAGTATAGATGACTCTGTTGGACGTCAGGTGCTGTGGCAGTAGTTGTGCAAAATAACACTAACTAATGTGCACAAGAGGCTAGTCGATGGCGAAGTCCAAGTGTGACGTACTGGACAGGAGTGACTAGTCATTACAGAACTTCACTCAGTTATTACTGATCAGATTCTAGGTCTTTCCGGCGGGATGATGCTCACTTCGCACGTCATGTGGTCGGCCTCATGAATTTACCTAAGCCATGTCTGCTCAACAGAATGTCAAAGTCAGTTAACCTGCTACAAAAAACCCAGACTTCCTGACAAACTTTGCAAATTTGTTTCCACTGCAGCATTACCACCGTATAAGCCTGGTTGTGCCAGATCTGCACTTGCATGGGGACCTCCAAGGAAAACCCTGCTGCTGTTTGAAGTAGCCCCCCTACAGCTCCCCCTGAAGCAGTCCCTCTCATCGTTCTACATGATGTGCCGGGTGGGGAGCCTGCTGGCATCCGATCCAGCTCAGCGCTGCACTGTGGGGCTAAATGAAGTTTGTCCTCTCCGACCTTTTCAGGGATCCTTCTGGGTGAAAGGCACTATACATAAATGCTAATTAATAATAGGTGATTAGTTTCTTCTGAGGCTTAGAATGATTCAGCAACAACTCTGGGAACCAGGCAACGTGAAAGGTCCACAAGCCACAGGAACAAGTCTAGGGAAGCTTACACTTCCATCATTCCCTGGAATCTCTCACTTGCACAGTCAGTGCAGCTCTACAGGGCCAATGCAATGCAAACTAGGCCATGCAGTCAGTCAAGTGATCTACACTTCCTAGAACCTTCCTGCTTAGAAAACTGCGGACAGGAGGTCCCCGAACCAGTGCACACAGATGCCCTTTGTTACCAAGCTTGCGAGAAAACAGAAGCTGTGAACATGTTTTAATTTGAAACCAAACTTCTCGGTCAAACATTTCTCAGCAAGATCACAAACTCGCTTACCGCGCTGCAATAAAAAAAATGATCCTAGTTTACAATGATTCCGAAAAGAGAACAGAATAAAATTTGCCAGAGCTGTCTTTTCATTTTCTCTTCCAATCGTGGAGCTAGCACTTGAGGGTGTTTATGAAGAAAGTCTACGACAGCTGACTTTAGTAATGAAGCTCTCATGTGAAGAAATATGATTTACTGCCTCCTAATGTCTATAACCCTGCCGGACCAAATAAAGAAAAAAAAGGTTTCCCTTCCCCAGGAAAACAACAAATCCCGCTTTCATCTTCACAGAAACCTGCACATCTAAACCTCCTTGAGTCACTGCAGTGCCGCAACGTGTGTAAAGATGAAGGGCTCAAAGAGCCGGTCATCCCAAGAAAACCACCTGCCTCCTCGCATTTTCCCAACGAGGGTACGGCAATATTCACACTACGGCTCTTCAGTATGGCAAATTTCTCTGTTTTTATTAGTCAGGTGATTGTTTGTTTACTTCAGCGACAGTGTTCAAGGCACAAAAAATGGCAGATGCCAAAGCATCCTTTCCACCATTTCGTTAGTACTTTGTCAAAACTTTCAAATCACCAGGGAACAAACTCACAGCTTCTGTGAGGTAGCTGCAGGCTCCCTTCTCAGAGCTTTCTGACTGGGATAAGGCATTGTTATTCTATCAACACCTGCTACTAAAACAAAGATCACAAAGTCACCCAGGGAACACTGCATTAAAAACATCAGTGCAGTGCCCAATATTTAACTAGCGTCTTATGGGTTAAAATATATTTAAAAGGAGGAATACTGGAAAGTTGCTTTTAAGCAGCTTGTGACTCACTTGACAGGCCTCCTCTGATTTAAACACTCATGTGAGGACTCGTGCCGTCTGGGGTTTTTTATTTTTGACAGCGCTCGAGGGTCACTCCCACGGGCAGCACTTCGGAAAGTGTAGCTGAGTGCAGCAATCTTTGTCAATGTTGTGAATAAGAATATCACCGTTATCTACTTTTCTTTTCTTCCTCAGTCACCCTTGTCTTTAATTTTTTATTTTTAGCTGCTCTACATTGCGATCTACAAACGGGACTTCCACTGCGACTGCTGCTTCTACTGCCGTCTACTCACCGATGGAATTCAACTGAGGACTTTTAACCACCTGCTACTGCCTTGATTCAGGTTTCTTTCCCAGTTTTTATCATCGTTGCAGATTCCACGAACATGTTTTTTTTAATAAAAAATAAAGCTTTTCATTATCTTTTTCATGATGTGAGCTACACAGAAATCTGGTACTCGCATAACTACTGCTTTGTTTGCATTTTTATACAATTTATTTTCCTGTTAAACTAATTCCCAAGTCAGTTTTCTATTGTAACATCCAAATCGTCAGAACAGATGCCAAACACGTACAATATACTAGACTAGTGATATTTAATTGCAGCCATATTATTGCACAACTTACTTGCACAGTGAAAACAATATTTTAATTTTTGTTGAAGTGGGGCACAATTTAATTTTTTGTGTACATTACTAACCTAGCCAGCAGCCATATAACCCTTCAGCTCACCACTGGCAGCCCACTGAAGCTCAGCAAGTGTGAGCCTGGCCACTACCTGGAGGGGAGACCTCCTGGGAAAAACTAAGGCTGCTGCTGGAAGAGGTGTTAGTGGGACCAGCATGGTCCTGCAATCCATTTGGGTCCTAATGCCCCAGTATAGTGACGGGGACACTATACTGTAGTGGGCGCCATCTTTCGGATGAGAGGTTAAACCGAGGTCCTGACTCTCAGTGGTCATTAAAGATCTCCGGACTTTTCTCGATAAGAGTAGGGAGTTATCCCGGTGTCCGGGCCAAATCCCCCCCCTCGGCCTTTACTGTGGCCTCCAAGCCTCCTGTACGGTTGGCTTGCACTGGCCCTGAGATGGACTGGGCGTGCCCTGCCTTGCGCTCGCTGCTCGCCAGGTAGGCTCCGGCTTCCCACAACACCGTGTGGTATAAAGCGGTTTGGTAAATGACATGAGTTCTGTGAATTGTACAGAAGACGCCACCAAAAACTATATCCTAGTGAATCTGCTGAAGACAAAATTCAGCTGGTAGTGGTATGGAGACTTAAAAACAACTCTATTCCAAACTTGGTGGATATAAAAAAAAAAAATGTAAATAAGCTCCAAAACACATAGGATCTTTTCAAACCTATGTACAATTAACAATATTAAATATATAGGCTTTAAATATAAGAACAATGAAATAAGCACTGGGAACAAAATAAGAACCTTCATGTATTCAAGGTCATAACATAACTCCTGCACTTATTTTTTTTTTTCAAAAGTTAAATATATTCATTCATAACAGATTTCAAAACCATGTGTTGTTCTTGTTAGTGTTGGACAAACATACAGTGCCTTGCAAATATATTCAGACACTTGCACAGTTCACACATTTTGTTTTTTGCATATTTGTTATATAACCCACTCCATACAGTCTTGGCAAAGAACAAAAATAAAAATACAGACAACTAATATGAAAGAAAATTGGAAAAGTCATGACTGCATAAGTATTCAAACAGTTTGCCGTGGCAAAACGAAAATAATTTAGATGCACAAAATAACAAGCAACACAATTAAACGAATGACCACAGTGTGCAATAATAACGGTTCTCAAGATTTCAGAATAAAAGCACCTGTCCTTGGTCAGCTAGTGAATTTCAAGCAAAGACTCAATCAAGACTTTCAAAGCAAGTCATTGAAAGGCACAGATCAGAGATACAAAGAGTACAAAACCACACTGAGGTCTCTGAACACTGTCCCCTGAATCCCATGAACACAGTCCACTCGGTCATCCAGAAGAGGAAGGTATCATACCACCCAGACACTACCTAGAGCAGTCTGTCAGTCAAAGCTGGTGAGGGATTTTTAACAAGGCAATGATCCAAAGCTGAATCCTATGAGATTTGCATCCTATTGAGAATCTATGTAATGACTTGGTAGTCATCATATATATACACATCTCCCAAGCAAGTCGAAGAACATCTCCCGAGAATGGGCATAAACTGCAACAAGCAGGCATGCAGACTTGGGAGAGACTCATCGCAAAAATCTTTTGTGAGTAATTTCTGCAAAAGGCACTTCCACCAAATACTGAGTTTACTTGTCTGAATACTTATGCACTCAACATTTCATTTTCTCCCCAGCTTTTGCTGACATTTTCTGTAACATCTTCCACTCACACTGGCTCTGTAAGAAAAATGAAGAAAAGGCAAGATGTATGGCTTTCGCAACTAATAATAGAAAAGATGTACCTTCTTTCCTGTTTGTTTTTCTACCATGGTGTTGTCTCTGTCAGTCCCAGGTTTGGCCATTTTACAGCTCTTAACTAGCTGCAGCACTCACACATCAGCCTTTTCATTATGCACCTGAAAAATTGAAAATATGATTAGGACGCTTATAAATGTACCACCTATAAGAAAACTGCTGGCGCATTACATTAAAAGGGTGATTCTTATCCTACTTTCAACTGCGAGGCAACAAACTTATTAATCACTTCCTATTCATGAAAATAGGAAACTGCATTGCTATAGTAAAGATTAATGTTCTTGCAGCATAATCTAAAGAAACAAGTTGCATTCTAAAAACACAATAGGTTCTAGACATTAAAAAAAGGAGAATTCAAGGAATTCTGAAAATCTGCTGAACACACGCAAGGAATCTTCATATGTTCAACACCTACATCAATCACCAACATTACTTCTTTTTGCACAGATCTCCAAAAGTATTGTTAGATATTGTTGAAAAAACAGGATTCATATAAAACACACATCATGTTAATTGCTCACATCCACAATGTTTAAGAGCAGCGCAGTAATGGGTGAACATATTTCAACACAAAGGTTTACATAAGCCAACCACTGACATGATAAGTTGAGCTATAGGGGCTCTGTGCTGGAAACAACCACTGTGCTAATTATTTTCCTTCTTTAATTGGATGACATATTTGGAAGCGTATGGAAAATATGATTATATAGAAAATGACAGGCAGATCCTAAAACGTACCATTCAACCAATCTGATATTTTGTATTCATGTAGAAATAAAGGTTAAACAATAACATGGGGGAAGCATGGTGGGAAAATTAAACTCCCTTACTGGTCCTGTTCTTAATTTCTAGAAATTAGCACGTTCAGAGACCAGCTGTAGCTTTTATTGTTCAGCAAAAAGAGTTGCGTTTTCTCCAACTGCTATACCCAAGACCAGCATGCCATATATACAGTTCTGACACCCAAACATCTACCAATTAATTCCTTTACATAACAAATCAAACTAATCATTTCATGCTTTTACGATGCTTGCAAAAGCACTAAAAACAGTCAGAAACCTTTGTGCAAGAAGAAAATGTTCTTTCTGTTGATACAAAGATGCACAATTCAACACTGAAAGTAGAGAATAAGCAGACAAAACAATGACAACATGGAAGTCAAACTACTTGCACAGTGACCGTGACAATTCAGGACACACATCTCGATTAAAGCTGTACATAAGACACAAAATACTTTGTGTAATGCATTTCCATAAAAGAATGACATGCGATTTAAAAAGCTGTAATTTACTGATCTTTATTTAATGCACATGTTGAGCCATCATTTATTTGTTGAACAAAAGCATATTTATCTAATGTTAATCTTAATAAAAATAGAGTTGGAATCAATTTTTATAAGCTACAGTGATGGTGTTTGAAACTATCAGATATATAATTTTCCTAAACCCTACAATCTATGCAATTCATGATTCATACTGTTAGCTTGACAGAAATACTACAGACCAATTCTCAATCCATAAGATGGAAACCAAAATTCAACATTCAGTATGCAGAAAAATGAAACATTCTGACTTCCCTCACAAACATCCTGCAAGATCTGGTAGAAATGTTCAGTTTGTTACATGATTTAACCTACTAGTCCTGGGAAAAAACACTTCAATCTAAAATACTCTCGGCACAAAAGCTCCTTCAACCAGAAAACCCACTACATGCCTCAAGCTGTTAACCCTAATTTAAACTGTCAGCAAACTCAGCCTTTTAATATTGCATTTAGCAAAATAAAAACATGAATGATTTTCAAATTACAGTGGACTGCTCCCATCTGAGAGCCTTAATGGGAGTGCTTCAATTAAACACCAGGCATACCAGCTGCAGTCACTGCCTATAAGGCAGGAGTGTAGCAGTTCTTATTTATTTTAAATAGGCATTTACATGTATAAGTTTGCGCCAGCTGTAATAAAGAGCCTAATAAAGAGCACAACAAGCACTTAAGAGTAACTGCTGACCCGGTATCTTCTTATGTTTCAAAACAATTGCTCAGACATAAATGCAAATACTAACAGTACAAGCGCAATGACCAGCCAGAGTGCTATATTCCAGCTACAAGCGAATACATGCACACTGTTTAGAGCGCGAGGGTTGTAAGACAGCGCACAAAGAGGCCATTATAACACGGTGTCAGCAGAGATTTGCTCCCAACGGCAACATGCTTTGGCATCATTACCTTACCGGTAATAATTCCAATTTCCAGATACTGGGGGCTCTATCAGCGGCAAAGCAAACAAAATCAGCTCAGCGACTGTATACTCACTCCATGCTCTCAGTCGTCGGGTGCTTAACCAGGAAATTGTGATGAGTTCTTCTTCTGGCTATTTCACCCATCTTTTGGTTTCACTTTATTATTTGAGGTTTCATTTTTTTTCTCTTCCTCTTCTTGAAAATAGAGCAGCATCGAAGTAAGCGTACTAAGGTACGCCTCTATTTGCATACCCAATAAAAAACAGATTGAGTGGCGAGCCTTTTCCTGTATTTAACATACTAATTTTTATTATTTGCCACTGCCAGAACATACAGAAATGCCATCTGTAGCAACTGACAAATAAATGTGCACTAGAGGTGCTTTTTTCACTACCATATTACAATAGTGACACTTGTCTATACTCTGCACTGACTCTTTCTTCTGTTCTGGGATTTACAGTATAATGAAAGATTACTGAGCTGGTATTTTGGAATCTCGAATGGAAGCAAGAGTTAGACTATCTGAACTGCAAGAGGAAAACAAAAATGACCCTGCAATATTTTAAAAACCTTTTTGTAGTCTGGGAAGGCAAAAAGCCATACCTTTTTGTTTAGTGTTGTCCTGTAGCCAGAAAGGAACTTTGTTTTCTCTTACATACTGTCTTAATAATGTGAACACCACCCCAAGGCGCTGACAAACATATTACAAAAGGAACATAAAAACAGAAAAGAGGAGTCTTAAATGGGCGTACGGCTAGATCACAGAAGAGTGAACAAGGCTCAGGTATGTATTGCTCTTAAGCGCACTGAAGTCTGTGCAAACAGCTCTAATAAAAACTGTACCTTTAAAGCTAAACAAATCATATGTTGCAGACTATACTGATTGCAAGGTCATGTTAATTCAATTCAACAAACCAATGTCACTTTATATCTCACCTCTGGAGGACAACCAACATTGTCAACACTGCAAAGCTCTCAGAATAATAATAATAATAATAATAATAATAATAAATCTTAATTTTATATAACGCCTTTAAAGGTGGCTTCTCAAAGCAGAATGACAACAACAATAGATAAAAAGATACACAAGAATACACAAGATAAAACACAATTACAATATACAGAGGAGACCGTGGATGGTGGTACTTGGAAAAGCAGAGGGGTGAAGAATGGAACCAGTTAAGTAAAGGCTCTTCAAAAGAAGGTTTTGAGTCTGGATTTGAAGGAGTGTAGAGAAGGTGACTCTCTGATATCCTTGGGTAGAGTTCCAGAGCTTGGGGGCATAACAGGAGAAGGCCCTGTCACCCACAGAGTGTAGACGAGCTTGGGGGACAGTTAGGAGACCAGAATTAGAAGAGCGAAGGTTGCGAGGTGGGGAGTAGGGCAATAATAGTTCAGACAGGTACTGAGGTGCTAAGCCATGCAGAGCCTCATAGGTGAGCATGAGGATTTTACAGTCCACACGGAATTTGACAGGAAACCAGTGCAAGGACTCCAGGATAGGAGTAATGTGATCACTTGCACTAGACCTGGTCAGGATCCTGGCTGCTGAATTTTGGACAGACTGCAGTTTGTTCAAAGTAGATTGAAATACCCCAGCGAGTAGAGCATTACAGTAGTCAATTAGAGAGAACACAAATGTGTTGATCAGCTTTTCAGCCACAGTAAGTGGTCTAGTGCATATTGTGTAATTGTGTTTTATCTTGTGTATTCCTTTTATTGTTGTCATTCTGTAAAGCGCTTTGAGAAGCCACCTTTAAAGGCGCTATATAAAATTAAGTTTATTACTTGCCTTAAAAAACTATTAATAAATTACATTGTACAACAATTAGCTGAAGAAATAAAAACATTGAAAAATAATGGAATCAAATTCATCACCTACTTCTGCATACTAAGATAAATACTACACTCTTTAATCTTGTGGAAGTCCAGCAAGATAGGAGGAAAAATTACCTTCACACTTAATTTTGTTACACATTCACTAATCTGCTGTGTGTATTTAGTGAGAGCTAAGAAGTGAAGTTTGTTCATTTGCAAGGATCTCATCAAGAAACCGATGTGAGTTACTTTAACACAGTATTAGCAATACTGCAGCAGAACGGTTGAACCACACCAGTGCTTATCACAGTGTCACACAGACAAGCCCTTGAACAGTGAAATTCCTTGGCATCTCGGGGGCTCTGTGGCTGAGGATCTGTGCCTGTGGCTGGAAGGCTGCCGGTTCGTATCCCGCAGCCGGCAGAGGAATCCTACTCCATTGGGCCCCTGAGCAAGGCCCTTAACCCCAGCTGCTCCATAGGTACTGTAGAAATGGCTGACCCTGCGCTCTGACCCCCAGCTTCTCTCCCTGTCTGTGTCTCATGGAGAGCAAGCTGGGGTATGTGAAAAGACAAATTCCTAATACAAGAATTTGCACATGGCCAATAAAATGGTCTCTCTCTCTCTGAAAGTGGAGCAGAAGAGTGTGGAAAGGCCATTTACTGTTCATTTTCATTTCTAGACCCAAACTTGAACAAGATGGCAGAAGCAGATGCCTACTGCTGAATGCGAGTTTAAAAAGATTTTAAATATTACGAAGATGTTCTTTGCCAACTGGTCTCCCTGTTAGAAATGTTCCCATTTTATGTCCTATAAAAAATACTGTGAAAGCTGTGGCAGATTGTGCACTCAGTCGACTTGGGCATCAAGGGCAATTTTGGAAAACATTCTTTGTCATCCGGTTGATTCATACATACTGTATGACAACAAGGGTGCAATTCATATTCCAATTAGCTGACAGCTTTAACCTGCGCATCTTGTTAAATAATCATTGCAGGTCTCTAAGACAAAGCAGAAGAAAATGAAAGAAAGAGCATTAGAATGA